CATATATATATATATATATATATATATATATATATATATATATATATATATATATATATTCCTAATATATTTTTTATTAAAAAAATGTAAAGCATCTAAAAAAATTCAATAATTTTTATTCTAATTATTGGAAAAAAAAAAGGATTTATCTATTATTTTATTACATCTAATTTTCTTATAAAATTAGAGTTTTCTGTATAATCTGTTAAAATAAAATAGTTGCATTAGACAAAATAAGAAGAGTCTATATTCTTTTAACAAAAAAAAATTATTCTAAAATTTTTTAATGGAATTTTCTTTTAATTAGTTTGTATTGTAAATATTAAATAAATTGTTAAAAATATATTACAATGAATTAGAAAAAATTTAGAATTTATTTTTTATTAATTCATTTTAGTTATTTAAAAATGTGAAAATGTTGTTTAAATGACCAGAATTTTCAACACGAAATTAATAATAAAGAAATTAAACTATATACGGTTTAAAATTATTAGTAGTTTGTTGATTGAATTTTAAAATAGTTAATACATTTTAAACTTTTAATTTTGTATTTAGTTTTACTCTTTAACATTTTAAAAAAAATATTTATACATTAAACTGATAAATATATATATATATATTTAAGATATATTTATTCTATTAACATGATTCTTCTATTCTTTTATTTTTTTATGATTTTAAGTTAAATTAATAAAAATATTTATAAATTTTGTATTTAGTCTCAAATTATTATTTTTTAAAAGTTTTATTAAAAAGTTCCTATAAAATTTTAAAAGTAGATTTAATACTCTTTTATCTTTATAAAAAAAATTAAAAATTCTTACGGTTAATATATGGACAAAAACCGTCTTTCAACACTTTATAAATTATCTCTAACTTTTTTAATCTTACTCTTAAAATTTATGAGTATTTTCTTATTTTTTTAATAAAAGTTTAAAGATGTTTTTTTTATTTTATAAGGAAGTTTTAAAGGCATTTTTAAAGTTTTTCAAAAAAGAAGAATATTTTTGTATTTTTTACCTTAGTTAAAATGTATTTTTGAATATATATATATTTTTTTTGTAAGCCTATGTTTAAATTTTTTTAGACTTTTTTTAAATTTTAAAGCTACTTTTTTTAGGCAAAAATATATAGTTGGAACCTAATTTTATTAATTTAGCCTAAATTTTATTCTCCACGTTTTCTTTTATTCAAAATTCATAAATAGTAATTATTAGTAATTATAAGGGATAAGTACTTAATTTTGTAGGCACATAATGAATAGCTATGTTTGGGCTGAAAAAGTAATTTTAGTTCCTTCATACATTTTTTATCTCCAAATTTCCTCTTAGAGGTGTTTGGGATAAGTCAACCTCATATTCAAGACAACACAATACAATGCCCTCCAACTTCAAGAACTTCGAATACGAATTCTACCCGATGATAAAATTCAAATGCTAAACTATCAAATTTACGGATATGTCAATATCTCATTCAATTAAAGCTCGTGATAGAGGGATTTTACATTTTTGCCCATTTAAATAATTATTGAACTATGCTCATTTTAACGTATACACAATCTATTGTAGCATGTGTACAGTTTATTTGCAGAAATGGAATGGGAAACTTCAAGAAAAGATGACATGTGAGATTCCATGTCGGTTGGAGAGAGAAATGAAACATTTCTTATAAGAGTAGAGAAGCCTCTCCCTAGCAGTTGTGTTTTAAAATTGTGAGTATGTGATACGTAACGGGCAAAAATGGACAATATTTGCTAGCGGTACATTTAGGTGGTTACACGACCTCTGTCCAATGCCACTTAGAAGCTGAAGTTGTGGGCTTGTGAGAGCTCCAACACTAAGGATCACCCCTCCAAACCCAAAAAAAAAAGGACCCATCTAAGACTAGTTAACCGTTCTTGTCACGAGAGTATCATTAGAGACAACTTTATATTTTTGAAAATGGTCCTAAGAATTAAAGTTGATGATATTTATAGATTTTTATTATATTTTTGATATCTTATTAAGGGATTTCTTGTTTTCCCTTTTGTCCTAATTTGCCATACATCATGTAGGGACGTTAGCATTGAGTTACCCATTTTGACGAAGACAGAAAGGACTAAAATTTGATATGGATTGTTGTGTTTGAGGTTAGGTGGCCTATTGATAGATGTTGTTGATCAATAATGAGAGTATTTTATAACGTTTTTATTACACTAATTTGAATTCAAATATGACTATAGGTTAGTTGTGGAAGACATTAATGTCGTGACTACTTTTTCAACATGTTTGAGAAAAACCCAGTTTTTTCTTGCTTCAATCATTAACAGTTCCAGTCACACAAAATATATATATATATATAATATTTTTTATAACTCTTGGTTTGATTTTTTTTTTTAATTATTCTTATATATATTTTAAATAAAATTATAAAACATATGTGGTACAAAATTGATAATATTTTAAGGGAAAATATTATTTAGATTAATACCCGATGGCTGTTTAGTTAATTTCATAAAATTGCGTAATCCTAAAGTTGGATTTGGTCCTAAACTTCAATAACACATATCCAAATATACTAAAATTATAACTTAATATGATATCTCAACGTAATATTTAATTTGTTCGGTTGATATTTTGAGGGTGGATTTGAACATTCAAAATTTCATAAAAACACCTTAAATTTACCATAAATCAAAGTAGAGAGTAAAATTAAGAGTTCCTCCTCCACGGAACTTTGAAGTGTTGTACATCGAATCGAAGCTAAGGAATCAAAAATCTCAAGAAACCATCCACAAACACGAGAGAATTTAACCTCTAAACTTTCAAAACAAAATCCATCACTAAGGCTACAAAAATGGTACGATATTATTTGTTTCTATTTGGTTTTTACCATTTGGATTGAATGTTATCCACATATTTGTTAGTTCGAAGAAAAAAAGAAAAAAAAAATTAAAGTTTAAGGGAAGTAGAAATTATGCATTTTGAATTTAATTTGGGAATAAATATTGGAGGGACGAGAAAAGATGTATATAAATAGCTTGCGGGGAACACAGAGAAAAGGCCACAAATCTAGAAGCTGGTTCCCGATGTGGGACTCTTCATCGCTTTCAAAATCGTTTCGATTCCCAAAGCGCATCCCAATCTTTTTTTATTATATAAAATTCTAAATTCTCTCTCTCACTCTCTCCTGTCTGCTAGCGGTTCCTTTGCCGTCTCGATCGGAAAGTTTTCAAGTCTGTGAGCGCACTGCACAATAATTCTCTGTACCATTATCCGGAGAATCGTCTTGAATGAAGCGTAGCCGAAACTGATTCTTCTTCTTCCTTCTGTCTTTCTCAATCGGCGTGCAAAAATGGAGGTCCAATATCAAGAGGTAACTGGACTCTCTCTCTCTCCCTCTCCCTCTCTTACTTTATTCGGCTTCGAAATGTTCTTCGATCGTCTTTTCCTTTTTCGAGAGATTCTTCTGTTCTGTATCAGTATTAATCTGAAATGGATGGCTTATTTGGAAGGAATACTTGAGGAATTCCAGAGGAATCCAGATTTTCACTTGCCGATGGATTCCGAGGCTTTCTTCTCCGAAGGCGCTGGTCTTCCTCTGCCATGGTTGATCCTCTCTCTCTCTCTCTCTCTTCAATCGATCGGTTTCTCTCTCTAAAAAGTAGGAGGAATGTGGTGATTATGGCACTGGTGCGGTAATTAATTTCAGAGTTATTGTTTTTGGTTGAGCAGGATACGGCATGGAGTGCAGTGGATTCATGAGAGGTGATAATTACTTCTCTCTCCCATCTCTCTCTCTTTCATTATTGTTCTTCTGTTTCTGTAGTTTGGATTGATTTCAATGCTCTGCTCTCGTTTCCCTTTTATTTATTCTTAATATTTTTATATTCATATCATGATCGTAATCTATTCTATAATATTTTTGGTTTTATTTTTCCTTTTGGATCGGTGACTTTTTCTTCCTTGGAAAATGGAATGAGGATAACTCTGACGTATGAACTTGCCATGTTGAGATGGATGCTGCCACTATTTGAGAAAAATTAAATATTACCGATACTAACAAAATTTCACTGGGAATGGGAAACCATAATCAGGGATTTGATTAAATTGTCAACAGCTTTTACGAAACACTATTGTTTTCAAATTTTTCTTGTTTTGGTCCTAAAATTCAAATTCATTTACGAAATAAACTTATCAAATCGAAATTCCTTCTGTTCTCAAGTTCCTGTTTGGTTGCCGAACCACATGAATATTGTTTAAAATAAAGTCTACTTTTTTTAGAGACTAAAATTCAAATAAATTTAAGTACATTTTGAAGACTTAAAAATATCTGAAACAAAAAAAACTAAATTTGATAACATACATTAGCTTTTTGATTTTTTGGAATGGAATAATAATCCATATAAAAATTCACATTATGTAAAAATTTTATTGCTTTAAATTCACAGATTATATATATATATGTATGTATGTATATTCTCCCCGTTCTCCAAACGGGGATTCTGTCCCATTTGAGATGAATCTTCACTGGGGCTTTGGACGTCTCTAATTAAGAACCACAAAAAGAACTTAAATTAGGCATAGATACCAAAAGTGGGGTTTTATTTAATATTTTGATGGTTGTTAGGTAATCTTTATATTTCTCATTTATGAATCAGTCTTTTGTTATTTTGAGAAATATATGCATTTAATGATGTTTATGATTTTTTGTTTCTCATTTTAAAGAACTGTTTAGCACTGTACAAAAAAAAAGGAAAAAAAAGGAAGAAAAATTGTTTGGTTTCTTGTTCTTTTTTTTTTTTTTTTTTTTTTTTTTTTTTTTTTTTTTTTTTTTTTTT